AAAAAAAAAAAAAAAAGCCGGGCGTGGTGGCGCACGCCTGTAATCCCAGCACTCGGGAGGCTGAGGCAGGAGGATTGCTGTGAGTTTGAGACCAGCCTGGGCTACATGGTGTGTTCCAGGTCAGTCTCAACTACATAGTGAGACCCTGTCTCAAAACAAACAAACAAAAACCCCAAACAAAATAAACAAACAAAAAAACAGCAACAAAAAAACCCACCAAAAAACAAAAACATGATACTCGTGTACACGCATACGCAAATGAGTATATGTAAAAGGTGGTAAAATCTAAATTCTAAACCTGTGTCCTTTTTGTGGTTTTGACCATGTACTATTGTTATTAAAAAATGTACCATTGGGGGAGGTTGATAAAGGGTACCTGATATTCTCTGTACTGGTTTTGTAATTTCCTATGAGTTTATAATAAATTCAAGCTAAAAATTTTTCCCTTCTCCCTCTCCGCCTCCTCCCTCCTCTCAAAAAGGACTACTTAGGGCCAGGCACCATCATTTCTGTGAAGAGGTCACTAGTTCCTTATCCTGCTTTCTTGCCCATCTTTTCATAGCTCTAGAAAGTGACTCAGCTTTCCCAGGCCACTTTGCCTGGTTTTAGCAGCCATCTAGCATCCTCTAGCTGGGTGCCTAGAGAGCATTTCATATGGTTTCACACAAAGAATCAGGATGTGGCACCCTAAGATGTGATGCTCTGTTAGGAGCTCAGTCTTTTTGAAGTGAATCTGATTCATTTCTTTTGTTGATGTTTTTATGGAGTGCTTTAACTGGAAAAGAGATCCATAGGTAATACTTGAGCAATTTGGAGCTGACATCTGCTCATCATCTTGCTTCTTATAAACATTTGTGCCTTTTAATTTTTCTTGGAAGATAGATATGTAAACCACTGTGACCTTTTAGACACTCCTTATAAGCACTGTCCTCCAAAGTTTGGAGGGAAACAGAGAGCCACATCTATAAAATATCCAATTAAAGTCTTTTATTCACCTTCAACATAACTTCATTTAACATCTACATCGGGTGGGGAGGAATTGAGAGAAAATTATTTGAGATTTGAGTATAGTACATACAGTAATTTAGCCATTTCAAACAGTTGAACAAATTGTACACCTGTGCTTAGATTGATGGTAATGACAGTGATTTAATTTTCATCAGCAGATTGGTGCCGCTCTGACAGCTCTTACCCACAGTTTCCTACATCTGGGTTTCCCTAAAATGTTGCTGGATTGAGTAGGACAAGACCAAATAGTCTTTCATTGTGGAAGGTAAAGAACTAAGGTGTAGATTATTTTAGCAGAGACCTCAGCCATCCCCACGTGAGGTAAGGTGTTGAAGGGAAGCTTGCAGAACTTTTGTTGACCTCAGTGATTACAACAAGATGACTGCATTCTTTCTGAACACTGGCATTCAGACTCAAAGTAAACCTGAGAAAATCTTGAGTGTGATTTTGGATCAGAGGCCAATATGGGTAAATTCTGAAGGCTCTTTTTCTCTGGAAATCTTAGAAAATATCAGGATTAGTTCTTTAGGAAGGGCATCCATAGTAGATCATACAAGTCTTGGGCTTATGTCTCCAATCAGTCATCTCTTTGGTGCTCTCCTTAGGCAAGGCAGGCTGAGGTAAAGCAGCTCTTCCGCCCAATTGAGGAGCTGAAGAAGGAGTTTGATGAGCTGAATGTTTTCATTGAGACTGACATGCAGATTATGGTGCGGCTGATCAACAAGTTCAACAGTTCCAGCTCCAGCCTAGAAGAGAAGATTGCTGCGCTCTTTGATCTTGAGTATTATGTCCATCAGGTATTCTATTTCTTTGTCCATAATTCTGACTTTTAATTAACAGCTCCAAAAATAACGTCTTTTGCTTGAAGCTCTGAGAAAATAGTATCGGCATCTTTCCTTTTCTTCCAAGGCAGAGGCTGTTTTCAATCTAGGCCAGTGTCTCTTGTAACAGATACATTCTTAGAAGCCAGAACAAGCCCCCTTTTCACTTGCTGTGTTACTTTTTTTCTTTCTTTTTCTTTTGTTTTTGTTTTTGAACGTTGATCATATAACAGAGGTAAAATAGCCATAGTCTCTAACCTATGTAGCTTATAGTTTGGAAGAGGATCAAATAATGAATAATTGAACAAATGAACAAATAATGAAGTACTTAAAGAGTATGATAAGGGCCCCGAGGGGAAACATCAGACCTAGTCAGAGGCAATAAAAGGAGGTTTGCAGAGGATATGCCTTTTAGCTGAGCATTTAAAGCTGATTAGGAGTTTGCCAGGTAAAGAGGGGGAAATAGAACAGAGGATGGCAAACTGGTACTCTTGGGCAAATCTGATTGGATAACTGTGCTTATAAATAAAGTTTTATTGTGACACAATTACCCCTCCTTGTTATTTGTGGCTATTTTCATGCTATAGTAGCAGAGGTGAGTAGTCGGGACAGGAACCTCATGGCTTACAAAGTCAAAACTAGTTCCTATTGGGTCCATTAGGAAAAGTTTGCCAGTCCTTGCATTAGAGCATACTAAGCAGAGTAAGCAGCATGAACAAAAATTCTGAGGGCAGAGAAGAGCTTGGTGAGATTGAAGGCCTGGGAAAGATTGGAGTGACTAGAGCACGGTTACCAGGGAAGAGGGTAACAGACAAAATAGGAAGCTGGGAGTGGGGATCAAAGAGGTAAGATTGTCAGGGGCTGGGGCTGTAGCTCAGTGATGCCACAATTGCCTTGCAAGTGCAAGGTCCTGAGTTCAATCCCTGGTACCAAAATAGATAGAAAGAAAGGAAAGAAAGATGATTGAAGGGTAAGATTTGGGGATATTGTGCTCTTTATGATTTTAGCCTTAGTTCTATGAATCATTGGGGAACTTAAAGTAGAAAAATAACTGATCAGCTTTCTAATAGCCAATATTTATTGAGCATTATTGTATACCAGACACTGCTTCAAATGTCATATATATATATATAT